TTACCTTACTTGAATACAGTACTTGTAGCTACTAACAATACTTTACCTTCTGGAATACAGTAATGGTTGCTACCTTAACAAACTTTAACTTCTAGACAATTACCGTACTGGTAGCTATACTTAACAATACGTTATCTTCTGAATACAGTACTGGTACTACCTAACAATACATTATGGAATACAGTACTGTTTGCTACCCTTAAACAATACTTTAACCTTCTGGAATACAGTACTTTTGCTACCTTAACAATATTTTACCTTCTGGCATACAGACTGGTTGCTTACCTTAACAATCTTAAATTCTAGCATACAGTACTGTAGCTTACCTTAACAATACTTTAATCTTCTGGACTACATTACTGGGTAGCTCCTTAACATACTTCCTGGACTACAGTACTGGTTGCTACGCTTAACAAATAATTTACTTCTAGACATACAGTACTGGCAGCTACTAACAATACTTTCATCTTCTGGAATACAGTACTGGTAGCTACCTTAAGCAATACCTTCTGGGAATACAATTACTGGTTGCTAACCTTAACAATACTTTAACCTTCTGGAATACGTACTGGTTGCTACCTTAACAATACTTTAACCTTCTGGAATACAGTACTGGTTGCTACCCTTAACACTACTTACTTCTAGACAAACAGTACTGTGCTCCTTAACAATACTTTATTACCTTCTGGAATACAGTACTGGTACTCCCTTAACAATACCTCTGGACTACAGTACTGGTTGCTACCTTAAAATAATTTAACTTGCTAGACATACAGTAACTGGTACTACCTTACAATAAGCTTTATCTTTTGAATACATTACTCGTACGACTTACAATACCTTCTGAAATACAGTACTGGGTTTGCGACCTTAAACAATCGTTATTAACCTTCGAAATACAGTACGGGTTGCTACCACCTGAACATACTTTTATTACCATTCTTCTGGATACAGTACTGGTTGCTAACCTTAACAATACTTTAACTTCTAGACCAACAGACTGGTATCTAACCGGTTAAACGAAATACCTTATCTTTCTGGAATACATTATGGTAGCTACCTTAACAATACCTTATCTCTGGAATACAGTACTGGTAGCTACCTTACACTACCTTCTGAATAACAGTACTGGTTCTACCTTTAAACAATACTTTAAACCTTCTGGTACAGTACTGTTTGCTACCTTCCCAATACTTTACTTCTGGAATACAATACGGGTTGCTACCTTAACATCCTTTACGTCTAACACACAGTACTGGAGCATACTTAACAAATGAAACTGATAACTAAGATTAACTGTAACAGATTGTATATTTATTTATATCGCATCCCAACAACTATTTGTTGGTCCTGTGGTTGGTGAAGCAGTTACAAACACCACTAACTTAACTATTTTGGTTGGGCCGTGGTTGGTGTAGCATTAGCACCCCACTAACTTAACTATTTGTTGTGCCCTGTGGTTTGGTGTAGCAGTAGCACACTTCTTTGATACAACTTTCCTTCCTCCCAACTTCCTGTCAACTGTCCAACTATCTCCTTAACTAAGTTCTTTTTTCATGTTTATCTCTTTCAATAAAATACAGAAAAGGGTGTTGTCTCCCACGATCATTGTTACGTACTCAATGAGCTATTCCTCCAGAACGTCAAGAACACTGAACTGAACAATCCTGCCAACATTTTTCTGGCAGAGGCCCTGAAACTGAAGGTTAAGTTACATTACTTACTGGCTGCTGAATGACTACCTTTAATTGCCCTGTACCACAACCCGGGAATGTTTCTTACCCTGTACCAAAGGTGAGTGATATTACTGCTGAATGACTCCTTTAACCTGTACCCCAACACGAGGATGTTCTTACAAGGTGAGTGATTTACTGCTGAAATGACTCCTTTAATGAACCTGTACCACAACACGAGGATGTTCTACCAAAGGTGAGTGATATTAACGGCTGAAATGACTACCTTTAATGACCTGTACCACAACACGAGGATGTTCCTTACCAAATGTGAGTGATATTACTGGGCTGAATGACTCCTTAATGACCTGTACCCCACACAAGGAGTTCTTATACCAAAGGTGAGTGATATTACTGCTGCATGACTACCTTTAATGACCTGTACCCACAACATGAGGATGTTCTACCAAAGTGAGTGGATTTGATCTGCTGAATGACTCCCTTTAATGACCTGTACCACAACAGCAGGATGTTCTTATACCAAAGGTGAGGATATGACTGCTGAATGAACTACCTTTAAAAGGACTTGTAAACCACAACACGAGGATGTTCTTATACCAAGGTGAGTGATATTAACTGCTGAATACTACCTTTAAATGACTTGGTAACCCACAACACGAGGATGTTCGTACCAAAGTAGTGAATTCTGCTGATGACTTACCTTTAATGACCTGATACCACACACGAGGATGTTCTTTTAACCAAAGGTGAGTGAATATTCTGCTGATGACTACCTTTAATGACCCTGTACCACAACATGAGGATGTTCTTTAGCCAAAGGTGAGTGATAGTACGCTGATGACTACCCTTAATTGCCTTGTACCACAACACGAGGATGTTCTGACCAAAGGTGAGTGATATTACTGCTGATGACGACCTTTACTGGCCGTACCACAACACGAGATGTTCTACAAAGGTGATGATATTACTGCTGAATGAACTCCTTTAATGACCTGTACCACAAACACAGGATTTCTTAACCAAGGTGAGTGATATTAACTGCTGAATGACTACTTTAATGCCTTACCACAACACGAGGATGTTCTTACCAAAGGTGAGTGATTACTGTGAATTCCTACTTTAAATGACGCTTTACCACAACACGAGGATTTCTACTTCAAAAGGTGGAGTGATATAACTGCTGAATGACTAACTTTAATGACCTGTATCCACAACACGGGAGGTTCTTACCAAAGGTGAGTGATATTACCTGCTTGAATGACTACCTTTAATGCCCTGTACCACAACACGTGATGTTCTTACCAAGGTGAGTGATATTACTCTTACTGCTGAATTACTACCACCTTTAAATGACCTGTATCCACAACCTGAGGATTGTTCTTACCAAAGGTGAGTGATATTACTGCTGAATGACTACCTTTTAAATGACCTGTACCACAACATGAGGATGTTCCTTACCAAGGTGAGTGATTACTGCTGAATGACTACCTTTTAATGATCTTGTACCACAACACTGGATGTTCTTACCAAAGGTTGAGTGATGATTACATATTACTGCTTAATGAACTACCTTTAATGACCTGTACCACAACACAGTATGTTTTTACCCACAAGGTGATTGATATTACTGCTGAATGACTACCTTAATGCCCTGTACCACAACACAGATGTTCTTACCAAGTGCGTGATATTACTGCTAATGCTACCTTTAATGCCCTGTACAAAAAACACGAGGATGTTTTCTTACCAAAGGTTGAGTGATATTACTGCTGAATGGGGGGACTACCTTTAATGACCTTTACCACAACCGAATGATGGTCTTCCACAGGTGAAAGTGATATTACTCTGCTGAATGACTACCTTTAATGACCTGTACCACACCCGAGGATGTTCCTTTACCAAAGGTGAGTGATATTACTGCTGAATGACTACCTTTAATGCCCTGTAAACCACCACACGAGTGTTCTTTACCAAGGTGAGTGATATTACTGCTGAATGACTCCTTTAATATATGACCTGTACCACAACACGAGGATGTTCTTACCAAAGGTGAGTGATATTCTGCTGAAATGACTACCTTTAATGACCTGTATACCACAACACGAGGATGTCTTACCAATGGGATGATATTATGCTGAATGACTACCTTTAATGCCCTGTACCACAACACGAGGATGTTGCTTTACCAAAGTGAGTGTATTACTGCTGAATGACTACTTTATGACCTATACCACAAACCCGAGGATGTTCTTACCAAAGGTGAGTTGATTACTGCTGAAATGACTACCTTTAATACCTGTACCACAACACAAGGATGTTTCTTATTACCAAGGTGAGTGATAATTACGGCTGAATGAACTACCTTTAAAAATACCTGTTGCACAACCGAGGATGTTCTCACCAAAGGTGAGTGATATTACTGCTGAATGACTACCTTTAATGACCTGTACCACAACACGAGGATGTTTCTACCAAAGGTGAGTGATATTACTGCTGAATGACTACCTTTAATGCCCTGTACCACAACACGAGGATGTTCTTACCAAAGGTGAGTGATATTACTGCTGAATGATACCTTTAATGACCGGTTACCACAACATGTTATCGTGTGTTTCCTGTGATTGTCAGACTGGACAGCAGACAGTGTTGTGGTGGCTGCCCTCGGTCGTCCCATAGATCCTGGGATGTTGTATGACTGCCGTAATGACTCGTATTGTTCAGGTACCGTATGTTTTTCCAGTTTAAAGACTTCAAAGTATTGTGGGTGTATTTATAGTATCTACTGCTGAGGTATAGTGTATTTTAGGGGACCGAGTGGCGCAGCGGTCTAAGGCACTGCATTGCAGTGCTAAAGGTGTCACTACAGACCCAGGTTCGATCCCGGCCCTGATCGGGAGTCCCATAGGGCGGTGCACAATTGGCCCAGCGTCCTCCGGGTTAGGGGAGGGTTTGGCCGGGGTAGGCCGTCATTGGCCCAGCGTCCTCCGGGTTAGGGGAGGGTTTGGCCGGGGTAGGACGTCATTGGCCCAGCGTCCTCCGGGTTAGGGGAGGGTTTGGCCGGGGTAGGACGTCATTGGGGCAAGCAGGTTCATTTGAGGATTTGCTGGTTTAAGCTGTGACTCAAAATATTACAAGTAATTGGTCTTATCAGAGTGGTGGTTGTAAAATTTAAAGTTATCAAATTATTTCATAACCTCCTTTTACCCAAGTAATAATAAATAATTTATAAGTCTAAAATTCTTAAGGTAATTAAAGTTTCTTATTTCCTTAGATTTGTTTCTGTGGAACAACAAGACCATTGCTTCAATGCAACTGTCCCTCCCTCGGCCTCACACAGAGGTGAAGTGTGTTGAAGGAGACTCCCTACAGGATAGGTTCAGGGCTCTGGATGTGACCACTCCTCTGAGAGCCAGTGTCCTGTCTGGACTGGTGGAGGTCGGTGGTGCTGCTGGATACCTGAACCATCCTGTTCAGTCCACACTGCAGGACCGGGTCACTCTACACTACAGAACCACTACCAGACTGGACATGCTCAGTCCCAGGGTGCTTCAGGAGGAGACAGACGGAACACAACACAAGGCAACCCATGTGGTGATGGCTGTTCTCTACGGAGCTCAAGCATTCTTTATCTTTGACAGCAAACACATCAGCGGACAAAGGAATGCAAGAAGAGAGACAACCAAGATGCAAGATGTGATCAAGAAGATGCTCTCCACCTTCAATTCAGAAGACATATACTCAAGTTTGACAGACTCAGAGAAAATAGACAGTTTGTTGTATCAATGCACCTTGCACAGTGATGTAGATCCAACAACCACAATGGATTATGACACAACAGTAGAGGTGTACCAGTCGTTGCCGAGGCGTCTGGGGCAGCAAGGAGAGAAAGCAGTGCCTGTTCGTGTCTGGCTGTACCCTCTGAAGAATCTGGACCATGCAGCGGCTTGTGTTTCATTTGAGATCAGTGAAGACCTGCTCATCAGAGCTGAGAAAGTTCTGGAACACCTGAGACGGGTCACAATGAGGTGCCAGGACATGATGGCAGACCACACCAATGCCTATGTGATGAAATGGTTCCCTTATGCCAAGGACAAACTTACACAGTTTTCAGAGTCACTGTCAGAGTATCAGGTGGAGTTTCAGAAAGCACTGGCCAAAGCCACAGAGTTCATTAGAGAAAATGGTGAATCGTGTTTGTTGTGGCTGAGAGAGATTCTCAAGAAACACGATCAGTCACCATTCGCTCCTCAGGCTTTAGACCGTTGGCTTCACATTAAGGAAGCTGAGGTGAATGCTGTTGACATCTGCAAAACCAAGAACCTTCCCATAGTGAAATCTGAGAAGGAGCTGGAGAAAGTCCTTCTAGATTCACAGACAGACAGGGTGCTGTGTTTCACTCTGACCTCACTGGAGGATGAAGATCCATTCCTCTCCACTATGGAGCAGCACTCACTCTCTGTACAAGAGAACGCCACGAACCAATCTGGGATCACTGACCTGCAGAAGACACAGGTCAGTCAGAAAATTCAATCTGACCTCCGCTTGTTCACCAAATCCTATGAAGACAGAAGAGATGGAGAGTGTATCAAGTTCATTGCAGCAGTTATACCAGATATCAGTGTTCCTGGATCCTCCATTCGTCTGTATCAACGAGGCAGTCTCATCGCCACCAACTTCCAGCTGGGATTAAAACCTGATCCAGTCCGGGTAGCAGAGATAAAACATAGCTGTGTCATCCTGAAGTTTCCCCAGTCAACCATCAGGAGACCTGAGAGGTACAGAGTAGAGTACAGAGTCGTGACCACTGGTGTTAGTGAGGCTAGAGAACGACCATGGAATGCGGTAGTCACCCTGGCTCCTGCAGAAACCTGCGTAGTACCAGGTTTAAAACCATGCACACGGTACCAGATCAGGTACTCTGTCATAGAGCACTCTGGTATGAGTGACTTCAGCAAGGTCATTGAGGTCAAGACCCTGAGATCCCCACCTGAACATCTGAATGTGAGCCGGCTGCTGAACAAAACCAATGAAACCGTCAAAGTGACTTGGTTCCAGGCTGAGTGTGAAGATAGTGCCCCTGTACTCCACTACAAAGTAGACTATAAAGAGGCAGGACTGGAGGGCTGGTCTACCATGGTGACAGCTGACTGTTACTGTGATGTAACTCTGAACCTCAGTACCTGCTACCGAGTCAGAGTATCAGCTGTCTATGGAGAAGGAGACACCAGTGAAACCACCAGAGAGACAGATGTCCCAGTCTACGGTGAGCTACATCAAATCAATATAACTTGATATGCATGTGAAGAATATTTTAAAACGTAAGACATCGTTCTGGCTTAAACTAAATGAAAAGCCATCTGTTTATATTGGACTTTCGAAGATCAATAATGAACATTTCTTATATTCTATTTGTACTGCTTGATATAACATCATTACTGTCTTCCATTGATAATACATCACATCATTACTGTTGTCACATAGGGACATGTCTTTCATTGATATACATCATAAACAGTGCATTTGGAAAGTATTCAGACCCATTCCCTTTTTTCACATTTTGTTACGTTACAGCCTTATTCTAAAATTGATTAAATACATTTTTCCCTCATCAATCTAAACACAATACCCCATAATGACAAAGCAAAAACAGGTTTAAAAACAACAAAAATACCTTATTTACATAAGTATTCAGACCCTTTGCTATGAGACTCGAAATTGAGCTTAGATGCATCTTGTTTCCATTGATAATCCTTGAGATGTTTCTACAACTTGATTGGAGTCCACCTGTGGTAAATTCAATTGATTGTACATGATTTGGAAAGGCACACACCTGTCTATATAAGGTCCCACAGTTGACAGTGCATGTCAGAGCAAAAACCAAGCCATGAGGTCGAAGGAATTGTCCGTAGAGCTCCGAGACAGGATTGTGTCGAGGCACAGATCTGGGGAAGGGTACCAAAAAATGTCTGCAGCATTGAAGGTCCCCAAGATCACAGTGGCCTCCATCATTCTTAAATGGAAGAAGTTTGGAACCACCAAGACTCTTCCTAGAGCTGGCCTCCCAGCCAAACTGAGTAATTGGGGGAGAAGGGCCTTGGTCAGGGAGGTGACCAAGAACCCAATGGTCACTCTGACAGAGCTCCAGAGTTCCTCTGTGGAGATGGGAGAACCTTCCAGAAGGACAATCATCTCTGCAGCACTCCACCAATCAGGCCTTTATGGTAGAGTGGCCAGACAGAAGCCACTCCTCAGTAAAAGGCACATGACAGACCGCTTGGAGTTTGCCAAAAGGCACCTAAAGGTCTTTCAGACCATGAGAAACAAGATTCTCTGGTCTGATGAAACCAAGATTTAACTCTTTGGCCTGAATGCCAAGCGTCACGTCTGGAGGAAACCAGGCACCATCCCTACGGTGTAGCATGGTGGTGGCAGCATCATGCTGTGGGGATGTTTTTCAGTGGCAGGGACTGGGAGACTAGTCAGGATAGAGGGAAAGATGAACGGAGCAAAGTACAGAGAGATCTCTGATGAAAACCTGCTCCAGAGCGCTCAGGACCTCAGACTGGGACGAAGGTTCACCTTCCAACAGGACAACGACCCTAAGCACACAGCCAAGACAACACAGGAGTGGCTTCGGGACAAGTCTCTGAATGTCCTTGAGTGGCCCAGCCAGCTCCCAGACTTGAACCCAATCGAACATCTCTGGAGAGACCTGAAAATAGCTGTGCAGCGACACTCCCCATTCAACCCGACAGAGCTTGAGAGGATCTGCAGAGAAGGGGAGAAATTCCCCAAATACAGGTGTGCCAAGCTTGTAGCGACATACCCAAGAAGAATCTATGCTGTAATTGCTGCCAAAGGTGCTTCAATAAAGTACTGAGTACACCGGCTCTGACGCTTGTCGGATGTGGCAGGGCAAAGGGAAACCCAGCCGCGAGCTGCCCAGTGACGCGAGCCTACCAGACGGGCTAAAGGCCTTTTATGCTTGCTTCGAGGCAAGCAACACTGAAGCATGCATGAGAGCACCAGCTGTTCCATACGACTGTGTGTTAACGCTCTCCGTAGCCGATGTGAGCAAGACCTTTTAAACAGGTCAACATTCACAAAGCCGCAGGGCCAGACGGATTACCAAGACTCAGAGCATGCGTCGACCAACTGGCAAGTGTCTTCACTGACATTTTCAACCTCTCCCTAACCGGGTCTGTAATACCTACATGTTTCAAGCAGACCACCATAGTCCCTGTGCCCAACAACGCGAAGGTAACCTGCCTAAATGACTACCGACCCGTAGCACTCACGTCTGTAGCCATGAAGTGCTTTGAAAGGCTGGTCATGGCTCACATCAACACCATCATCCCGGAAAGACCTAGACCCACTCCAATTCGCATACCGCCCCAACAGATCCACAGATGACGCAATCTCAATTGCACTCCACACTGCCCTTTCCCACCTGGACAAAAGGAACACCTATGTGAGAATGCTGTTAATTGACTACAGCTCAGCGTTCAACACCATAGTGCCCACAAAGCTCATCACTAAGCTAAGGACCCTGGGACTAAACACCTCCCTCTGCAACTGGATCCTGGACTTCCTGACGGGCCTCCCCCAGGTGGTAAGGGTAGGCAACAACACATCTGCCACGCTGACCCTCAACACGGGGGCCCCTCAGGGGTGCGTGCTTAGTCCCCTCCTGTACTCCCTGTTCACCCACAAATGCTTGGCCAAGCACAACTCCAAGACCATCATTAAGTTTTGCTGACGACACAACGGTGGTAGGCCTGATCACCGACAACGATGAGACAGCCTATAGGGAGGAGGTCAGAGACCTGGCAGTGTGGTGCCAGGACAACAACCTCTCCCTCAACGTGAGCAAGACAAAGGAGCTGATCGTGGACTACACGAAAAGGAGGGCCGACCACGCCCCCATTCACATCGACGGGGCTGTAGTGGAGCGGGTCGAGAGCTTCAAGTTCGTTGGTGTCCACATCACCAACAAACTATCATGGTCTAAAAACACCAAGACAGTCGTGAAGAGGGCACGACAACGCCTATCCCCCTCAGGAGACTGAAAAGATTTGGCATGAGTCTCCAGATCCTCAAAAAGTTATACAGCTGCATCATCGAGAGCATCCTGACTGGTCGCATCAGCACCTGGTATGGCAACTGCTCGGCCTCCGACCGCAAGGCACTACAGAGGGTAGTGCGTACGGCCCAGTACATCACTGGGGCCAAGCTTCCTGCCACCCAGGACCTCTATACCAGGCGGTGTCAGAGGAAGGCCCCAAAAATTGTCAAAGACTCCAGTCACCCAAGTCATAGACTGTTCTCTCTGCTACTGCACGGCAAGCGGTATCGGAGCGCCAAGTCTAGGTCCAAAAGGCTCCTTAACAGCTTCTACCCCCGCACATTGACTCGGTACCGGTACCCCATGTATATAGCCTCATTATTGTTATTTTATTGTGTTACTTTTTTCTTCTTGTGCTAAATATTTTCTTAAATATATTTTCTTAAAACTGCATTGTTGGTTAAGGGGTTGTAAGTAAGCATTTCACGGTAGAGGTAGAGGGTGAGCATCCTTTACGGTGCAAGCATTGAGCCATCGGAAGTCTGTACACAGTCTCAGATCGCCAAAACTTCTTCCAGACCAGCACGAGTGGGGAGGCATACTCACTGCTGGATTTCCTGATTATCTCTCACTCTTCCATCTCATCCAAGGCCTGCCTGAGCCTAAGCTAGCCCTAACTTACTCACTTATCACTCTGTACGGTTTTGATGTCACTGTCAATGGTCAAGCTACCATTGTCAAAGTCTGGATTGTCATCTATTTAGGGTACCTGCTTCACCATCTATATAGTCAGTCTCAAAGTCCTCTAAGGCCATGCAAGGAAAAACGTCTGCTATCTTGGCATTGCGTCTCACTGTTACTAGCTTTGGTGAGGGATTGATAACTTTGACAGGGACCCAGCCATCGCTCCAAAATGTCGCTACTGTTCTCCCCACTAGAATGTATTTTCGGTCTTGAGCGTGCCCTCGTAGGCTCACCCTAGAATAAGCTCATAATGTTGGCCATCCACTACTAGAACAGGGACAGAGACACTGCTGCCATACACAGACAGATTCAATTCACACACACCTACAGGGTTGGTCTTCAACCCCCCGCAGCCAACCAACACCACTTCAGTCGGACTGAGGGAGCCACTCTTAAGCACACCTGCTTTCTCAAGGCGTGGCACCACCGTTGAGCTCAATGAACCGCTGTCAATCATAGCGCTCACCTCTATAACATCCCCCAGTAACACACTAGTATAGAAAAGTTCATCGTTGTGGAGCACTCTCTGTGTATTCTGCATAATGACTTTTTCGTTCAACTTAATTTAATCACAAACACTTGAATATATTGACTCTAAATCTACACCACTATCTGATTGGGGCACCTCACAAGGCCCAGCACTTCCCCCCCACCCCGTGCGGGCCAGCTAGTTTTCCTGCCGCTGAGCCGTGTTGCTGTTTGATGGAGCGACGGGAGTTACCGATGAAGCGCGTGGACATTCTTGACGTGTGTGCCCAGCTGCATAACAGAGGAACCAGAGGTGATGTGAATAACAATGATCTATTGTGCTGTGATTTGCATCCCCACACACTTTGCATTGCAAAGATGGGTTCTCCCTTCTCCTGGGCCTCCTCTGGAAACGGTTATCATAGCCGCCTACAGGTTGCTGTGGCCTCTGCTCCAAGACACGTTCAAGCATGCCAATCACACCATCCAATGCCTCGGATGAGCCATTTGTGGGCTGCTGCAAGGGGTCCGGGCAGTTTGCAACAGCCGACACTGGCCTACTTACTTCCTGCGTCAGTGTGGTGACCAGTGGGGCCAGCCGCAAGGGACGTGCAGCCTTGCACTTCCTCTGGTACTCCTCCAGCCTGCCATGGACCTCCGCAGCCGTCCACTCATGCAATGGTTTGCACATGAATATCAATGACAGCTCTGGGTTCGGACAGTGCTTGATGAACATGACAGTCAGAACACGTGATGGATTGTCTAGCTCCTTGTTCTGCATCTTCAAACAGTCCTCTGCCACCTCTATGGCCCTGTTCAGTCTGATCCAGTAATCAAATGGAGTCTCCCATGGCAACGTAGACTAAACATATACCTATGGAGTGACCTATCTGCTTAACAATGCCCGCCAGGAAATCCATAGACACATCCCCATTCCTAGGACGAGGTGAAACTGGCTCGAATGCACTGAGTTGAGGTAGCTCTAAATCATGCGGAAGGTGCACACGTGCCTGTG